CCCATCCTCTGCTATCAAGAGTAAAAAAAAAAAAAAAGCCTCGCCTTGCTCGCCGGCTCTCTCCCAAGACAGTGCCTCTTGCACCCTCCATCCGGAACTGCACCCTGCCAGCCAGTCCACCTGTCTGCCAGCTGCAGTTCCAGATGGAGGGTGCAAGAGACGCTGTCTTGGGGGAGAGCCGGCAAGTGAGGTGGGCTGCTGGCCCTTTCCCCCGAGCCACCGCCAAGCGATGCCTGAGAGCAGAGCTTGCTTCCATCCCGTCCTTGAAGAGCGCCTCCAAGCCACCAGCAGCAGCTGCCATTGCCGCTGCCTCTTCCAGGGAAGTGGCTCTCTTTCTCTCTCAGCACCAAGCACCAGCCCGCGGCCGGTTCAGCGCCCGGCGGTGCCTCCTCCTCCTCCTGCCTTGGCTCTGGAGGCTGCCTCGCCTCGCCTCGCCAAGTCTGCTCCTCTGTCATGGTGGGGGTAGCTGCTGCTGCCGAGTGCGCCTTTTTTGAGGGGGGCCCTCAGAGGAAGGTAGCCAGACCTCCGTGTGTGTGTGTGTGCATGCGCCTGTGCACCTGTGGGGGCCCTGCCCCATTCTGTTTAATTTTGCGGGTACCAGTGGGGGCTTTTTTCCTTTGGCAAGGAGAATTTTGTGAGGTTTTTAAAATTTTATGTCGTGCCCTCCTCCCCCCCCCCCACCAGCTAGGCAGTCGCCGGCGCTCCCTCCCTTCTCAGCTTCGTCCTGCTGTGCTGCTGGTACTGAAGAAGGAGCTGGAGGGGGTCGTGGCCGGCGATGAGGGCTCGCGCGCCCCTCCTCCTGCTCCTCGGAGCCCCAGCCGGGTTAAGGAAACTCCTGGGTGGCTTCCTCAGGCTCTTGCTCTGCTTGGCAGAAAATCTGATGCGGCCCAGCCTCACCCAGGCTCTGCCTCCATCGGCCCCCAGGTAAATTGAGTTTGAGACCCCTGATATATGGAGATGTGGTATTTTGGATAGCTTGAACCCAAGTCATTAACAGCTTTATAGGTCAAAACCAGCACTTTGAATTATGCCTCGAAATGGATGAATAGCCAGTATAACTGCTGTAACAAGGGAGTCACATGATCCTTGTGTTCTACCCCAGTTAGCGTGGATGAATAGCCAGTATAACTGCTATAACAAGGGAGTTACATGATCCTTGTGTTCTACCCCAGTTAGCAACTAGACATATCAAATAAATAAATAAATATCTAGGATGCAGTGCAGTACCACAGGTGGTGCAGATTCCCTTCCTCCACCTCCTGGGCCAGCTGGGCCATTAACCAGGCTCTGCATATTGCTGGTGTCCTTCTTTGGTGGTGGCGCACAAGCAAGGGCAGGAGCCTGGCTAGGCTGGCCCCACTTCCCCAGGCAGCTGACCACTCTAGTGAGGAGGTGGCATAGGGAATCCCCTCCGCACAGCCAATGAGTGGTCAGCTGCCTGAGGTGGCAGGGATGGGCCGGCTAGGCTCCTGCCTAGATTGATGTGTCACTACCGAAGGAGGAGACAGGCAACACATGGGGAGGGGGAGAGGGAATCCACACCATCTGTGGCGCTGTGCTTCATCTTAGATACAAATAATGCCCATGTCTAGTTTGGACCCACTGGGGTTTCCAAGGCACCCACAAGTGGAATGCACTACAGCAGAGGTGTCAAATTCAATTTCATCTTGACCCGAATTGGCATTAGGGTTGCCCTCAAAGGGCCGGTTGTATCTGTAAGACTATACAAATGTATCAACTCTTTATCATATTAAATATAATCCTCCTTGTTTATTACTGGTTTTAGTAATAATGTAAGTAACAACTAGCCCTGAAAGTAAAAGTCTATGATCAAAGTCTAGAAATAATGGCAAGCAGATAAGAACAGGAGTGGGCAATAGTGAGGACTACATTTCCCAAGACGCTGTACACCGCCCAAGCAGCTGCACTTTCTGACTCTTTGCTGCTTGGAATGCTGGGATAGTCCCGCTAGGCAGATTCCCAGCATCCTTGCGGAGCATTATGGGTGACCGAGTAAGCGCCTGTGTATTGTATGTTGCACAGTAGTAGGCAACACTGAGAGGGCCACATGAAATGGCCAGGCAGGCCGGATTTGGCCCGCAGGCCTTGAGTTGGACACATGTGCACTTAATCCAATTAAGGCATGTGTAACTGTGGCCAGATCAGCTGTCTCAAGGAACAGTCATAGCTGGCACACTAGTTTTAACTGTGCAAGATCTAGGCACCTAGAAATGGATCCAGGAGCACCCCCAAACTGTGAGCCTGAGTTGTCAGGGGGAGTGTAAACCCATCCAGCAAAGGCTGAATTCCTATTTTCTTTTGCCAGGTTGGATTAAGCTTCAGTTTATCTTCCTTCATCCAGTCCATTGTTGACACCAGATACTGATCTAGAACCAAAACATATTCCTCAGACATAGATGGAAAGAGAAATAGCATTGGGTGTCATCCACATACTGGGGACACCAAACTCCAAAATTCTGGACAATCCCTACTAATGATTTCATGTATGCATTAAATAGCATGGGGATACAAACCAGAGCTGATGGAAGCCACAGGTTGATGGCCAGGGCATTGAACAAGATTCCCCCCCCCAGACCACTTTTTTGAGCTCTCCCCTCCAAGAAGAACCAGAGTGACCATGAAACAGAGCCTACAAGTCCCATCTCAGAGAGATGGCATTGAAAAATACCAAAAGCTACTGAGAGGTCCAGCAGAACCACCTCCCCCGTCCAGTCCACTATCTCTGTCCTATAATCAGGCCTGAAGCCAGCTTGATATAAGCATAAATAGTTTTCTTCCATAATCACAAATAGGAATTTATTCACTCCCTCCTGGGGGACATGCCCCTCCTCTAGAAGGATAATTGATAATATGTGAAGGTGATGGAGGTCTGTGTGAGTCAGCAGACATGTCAAGGTGGAAAGAGTTCCATTGTGACAGAAAATCTGAAACAGACTATGATGTCATCAATACTGTCAAATATTCATCCCTGTAACAATAGTGAGAAATAAAATATTAAAATTGAGTATAGATAGTCGGTTATTATTTATAAATATCAAACTTTTGGTAAATACTGTAGCTGATGACTTAATTTTTTAAAAAAATACCACAAAATCCACAAAGAATACTTTAAAAACATATTGCAGAGCAAATTCATTTTAACTTGAAAAAAAGTGGTAACTTCTGTATTTAATTCTTAATTACAAGACAAAACTTAGTGAATTAAACTACATATTGTATTTGTATCCTCAGCATACCTTTGTTTGTTGTTGTTATATACCATCAAATCAGAACTGACTTATAACGACCCTAATAGGGCTTTCAATGTAAATGAGATATTTAAGGAGTGGCTTTACCAATTTGTCCCCCTTGTGAGTTTCCATAGCCGAGGAAGGTTTCGAACTCAGGCCTCCTGCATTTGAGTCCATCACTTTATTCACTGTACCACATAGGGTATCCACATCAATATGTTCATCCTCTGCTAGCCTACTTCCAGTTAAGCTTTCTGTCCTGTTTTTATTTTATTGGTTGCAGATCTGTGGAGAAGAAATAGCAAGTGTGCCCAGAGTCACTGATTGAAATTACTGTAGTTGTTTTTCATTTAACTTTGGATTGATTACTCTATTCATTCAGTTAGTGTGAAATGGATATTCACATGGGTAAGATGGTACATTGGAAGCAAGAGCAGCATAATGGTTGTTTTAAAACAAGGCACATGCATATCATAAGAGACATCAATCAAGAAAAATAACTGTTTCCTCATTAACAGAAATGGTAAAAATGCTTGTTTGCTGAGGATCCAACTCAAGAGTGGTCGCATAGACCAAATGGGTGAGATACAAATAAAATAAAATAAAACAAACAAACAAACTCTCTGCACTTTCCTGGAAGTAATCCCCATCAAACAAGATGGAATCTATTTCTGAGTTGCAACTATATGATGTGAGGGTTTATATGTCTCTGTCTTAGAAATGTTTTTAGGGTCACTTCTCACCACAGAATCATGTGCCTAGAAAATGAGCGTTCCTCTGAGCACGTGAAGAAGGCCTCTCCCCTGTCTCCAATGATAACCAGCACACCACAAGATCTATCCAGGGATTAGGGACGGTGGCGAAGGAGGCAGCTTCCAGGCATGCTTGGCGGAAGAACTTTAAATAATAATACTAATAATAATAAAGATCTCACGCACCGGAGCCAGAGATTTTTTTCCACGCCGCTCATGACCAGGAAACTCCCAAGTTTAAAGAAGTCCCGGGCAGGGAACGTTTTTAAGCTTTCTAACGCCACAAACAGGCCGCCCTCTCCAGCTCTTGTCTTGCCCTCGAGAGCGAGCTTGGGAGGAACGATCCTTGAACCAGCAACGCCGGATTCTGCAGAAGCCCAACCTGATCCCAACCCGCGGAAAACTTTAGCGCCGGCTTGATGTCCCCTGTCTCTCTCTCTCCCTTCCCTCCTCTGCTTTGGCGGCGGCGGCGGCTTGGTTTTTCCCTCTGGGAGGGCAGAGAGAGACGCGGGCAGGCAGCGAGCGACGGGTGCCGCCGGTTAAGTCGGATCAGCCACCCAGCGTCTTGAATGGCACCTCTGGGTGGCGAGGAAACCTTAAGAGCCTTCTGCGGTGTCTTCGGGAGCCGAGGAGGGGCTGCGCGCGTGTTCTTGGAGCGGCGGCGGAGCAGCAGCAGCAGCAGCACTTGTCCTGTAGACGATTGCCGAGTCTGCGGAGCGGCTTCGCCGAGCGCAGACAGACACACGACCAGGCTGCCCCAGCCAGCCAGCCCTCCCTCCCTCCTTTCCTTGCTCGCTCCCATTCCCACCTCCC